AAGTAACTAATTTAGGTTTCAGGAAATCCAGTATTATTAAAAAATCTATGACCAGTGAGTCACCTCTGACTTTATGCAATTTACTATCTAGGTCAAAAGAACAGGATCAAGAATTACAAATCTTTAAAGATATGAATTGCATAATGATGTTTTGACTGTTTACAGAGGATGTATCAATGATCGGGTAAACGTATAAATACATGTTTCTATTAAAATAAAAAAGCAACAGCATACAGTACTTCGATTGTACACTGATGGAGCAATTTTTTTGAAAAGCCTATTTTTTAAAAAAAATCTAAATATTGAGGTCTTTTGGTTTTTAAATTCATTTTGAGTTTTGTTATGCTGAGATTAATTAGAGAATGTGGGCTCCGTGATGTCTACTTGAGAGAAATGTATAGGTTTTTGTTGCACTGCTACTTTGGAGAGTGAATTGAAAGTTACAGCTCCAGGTAGTTGTGCCACAAGCCGTGTGACCTTAGATTGGTCAAACAAGGTTTCTGGGCTTGTTTTCCAATAAAATGGGGGAAATCACTGCTATATATTTTACAGGATTCCTATGAGCCTTAAATTGAGATAAAATATATAAGCATCTTTTAGTTGGTAAAGCAGCATGTAGGTCCTGACATACTTTTTCTTCTAATGCAATAATCTGAGAAACAGTTGTCTTTTTCTGACACTTTGGATGTAGTTTTCTCATTAAAAAAAATACAGTTTTAGTCCAGATGAATTTGCTGTAACAAGCCCAAAGGCATATTTGCCTGGAAGGCAGTATTAAATTAGGTTGACAACTATATCAGTTACTAATGATTAACATTTACAAGAACAGACCACCAAAGTAGTTAAGGACAGACTAAATAGTGAAATTTAAAAAAAAAAGAAAAGAAAGAACCTGATAACCAATCACATCACTAAAACTGCAAAGCAGCAATTGTGAGAGAAATGAAAGAAGTGTAAGTCCACACAGAGGTCTTTCTAAGAAGAAAAGGGAAATAGCTAAGTACTCAAAGGTCACAAGGTACACTAAACACATAAAAAAAACCTCACTCATTAAATTTAAAGATGTGGACCTGCAGGAGCAGTTTTTGTTGCTAAAAGGCATACCAATTTTTTTTTTAATTCAAAAGGATTTACAATATCACTTTCTTTTCTGAAGGATTTTTTTTTCCTTTTCTGTAATTTGATTCTATCACGAGTGTTACCAAATGGCACCTAAACAAATGTAAAAATTAAAATGTGTGAAAATTAAAAAATATTAAATACAACTGAGGAAAAAGAAGCTGAGAATCTTAGGCTTATTTAATTTCTGTGGCTTGTTTTGCAAGAAATGTTCAACTGTTTAAACCTTGAAATAAAATAAATGTATCATATTTCTCACCAGCATTATTTTCAATTATCCTGGTTATTATTTAATTGCACTTTTTAAACTCAACCCGACTGCACCCAGCAGCTCCTATGGGTGCCTATTTCCACCCCACCTCCAAGGGGCAGACCACGCCCCCTGCCCACCTACCAATGGCCATTCCTGTGAGAGTTGTGGAACTGAAAACACAAAACAAAACAAAAACTGTAATCCTCACTGAACGGCTTTTATGCAACTAAAACAAAGTATTAAAATAAAATAAATATTGAGGGCAGTCTGAACAGAAGTCGGCAATGAGATGAGAAAACACCCGCTAATGAAAAGAGACTGACGCAAAACAGATTGGATCCAGGCTCCTTCTCTTAACTTGCTGGATTCGGCAAGTCACTTAAATTTTGCAGTTTCAGTTTTCTCACCTGTGAAACATTGGTTTTGAACTTGATGATCCCTAGACTCTCTTTAGCTATATAATTCTATAAAAATTAGGTGAGAAAAAAATCCTGAAAAATAAAATAAAACGAAGAGGTGATGGGGATGGGTGTGTGTGTGTACATATGGCATCTGTCCTTTCCATCTTTTTCCCCCCATGTCCATGACTTCTATCAGTCACCAGTTGGCATAAGCAGCTAGGGGCTCTCCAAGCATGGTTCACTTGCTAAGATCCTGTTCCTTCATTCAACAAGCTTATGAAATCCTGTGGAATCTGTTCTTGAAGAATACACAAACTGCTGGTCATAGAGCTAAACAGTCCACCTGCTGCCTAAACTTGAACCCAAAAATATCTTTTCTCATCTCTTTACCACTAAAGTTCTTGTCCCAAATACGATGTAAACTGATTCAAGTCAGGATGTTTCAGTTTTATTGTAGAATCTATGTCAGTAAACGTCAGACAAGCAAAATGTGGAGAAAAAAGTAAATAGGGAACATAAATTTCTACAAGTAGATGTACTTCATTCAAGTTGTTTAAAAATAGTAAACTAATCCAATGGAAAAAGCAGCATAAGGCAGGTGTATATTTCACAGACTTGAGTATTAATGATTTTGATGCATTATCACAGGCCTGCCCAAGGATTAGCCTCAGCTTCCATTTGAATAAAGTGTAGAAAATAGTTACATGAAGCAGTTGGATAAGTAATGAACTATATAATCATAAATTTAAATGACTAACTTCAGTGCACTGTGATACAAAAAAGGATAATCTCTCATTAATTCAATGTTTTTACATTGTGAAATGAGGAAACTGACTGCCCTTGAATCTACAGGAAAGCACAGCAAACACCCAAACCATTCCCTGCGCCTCTGATCATGTGTAACAGATAACCATGCATGTTGCCGCTTATCTAGCAGCTATCACCATACCTTGTGGAAGTATTTCAACTGTTACTCTCTCAAGCATCTGTTTAACATTTTTCAGACATCTAAGGGCCCAAAGCTACTAGATAACTGGCTGTAGCCTACTATAAATGAAGTATGTTAACCCGATAAGGAACCCCAGTTTAAAAGCCAAATTGATAATCAGAACTGACACATTCAAGATGATATTAAGCACCTGAAGTAAGATAAACTTGAATAATACTTTATTAACAGATGAAGGTCATATTACAACATCTTTCAAACCTGAAAGAAGTACAGGAGATTTTACAGTGGCTCACAGCCAAAACAGTGTGACAACAAAGCTTGAAGGCTGCATCTTTAATTTCCAATAAGCTTACATGGTTCATTGACAAAAGCTGAGCTGGTCCTGCCACCTAAAAATGCTTAAAAGCCAGGCATACAATGCATACTTCTAATCTAAGACACACCTATCCCATCACTATTTGATCTCATATCAATGTAAAGACTGCCACTAACCTGCATTTTCTCTGCACCAGAAAGGCTTATCTCGCATTTGCCAACTTCTTTCCTTCTTGAAATCTATCTTTGCTCATGTTTATTCTGATACCATTTCAACCATATAAAATGGCAGTGGGTAGCAAATACAGTCTCCAGTTTTGATATTCTCTGCTCATGGACCCTAAAAACACAAACATTCCTCTCTCACACATCCCTCAGGCAAAATTTCTCAAGAATAATAATAAGCCTCTCTTCAGATAATTGGTATGGAAGAGACAAAAATAAAACCTTTTCCAAGAGAGATAATGCTTGTTCAAGTTTATTTCTTTGTATCTGGCATTTCTCTTGGACACAACTTTGCTCAGTTATGCCTATTAACTCCTGAAAGGTACCAGCCAGGGTATCTGGGCTACGCAGCCTCTGAGATGGCCCGCGAGGATCGCGAGGATCCTGGCATCCTGGGATTCCTGCCCTTGCATAACCCGCTCCACACTGATTTTGGGTTGGACTTATTGACTCACTTCTAACAACTACAATAGGGCACTACTGATGGGATCCCACTTCTGAGATTAGATCACAAAGACTATGGCGTCTTGGGTGCTCTCTCATTTATTTGCTCACCCTAGGGGAAGCCGGCTGCCATACTGGGAGGCGGCCCTACCGAGAAGCCCATGTGGGGAGAACTCGGGCCTCCCAACCGTCAGAAATACGGTTACCGAACTCCAAACATTAGAAGTCAAGAGAAGGAAAACTGAAACGGAAAACATAAATTAGCTTCACTTTGCGGTAATAAAGGTCATGATGCACTGATTTGGAGAGAAACACCTGGGATCCTTGAAAATAAAAATTCTACTTGTTGTTGAACCAAGTAGATTCAACCATTACATTACCAAATACATACAGAACCTAAAAATAAAACGAACACATTTAAATGAGGACTGGGATTCATGTACATAATTTCACCCAATTAGTAATATTTAATTGAGCAACCACCATGTAAAACACTAGAGGCCAGTCACAGAGAAACAAACAAGAGACAGGAAATTAAGAACTTGCCAAATTTATAACCAAAGCTTGACAGCTAAAGCAACTGGCAGCCCATCGTGACCCTACCTGTACGTTTGCTTTCATATTACTGGAAAGTACGTAAAGAACAGAAAACTGTGTCTACCGATTCCTCCTTCCCCCCAAAAAAGAAAAAAAAAAACTTCCACTCTACTTGAAAAGCAACACTTGGGCTAGAAAAGAGCAATCCTTGCTGTTTCCCGGCTTTATTTCAGAACGAAGCCGGGTCGCCACCTGGGGTCCCAAGCTGACCTTATAGCCCAGTGGCCTAGAAACACAGGCACACACCTACTCCCGCCTCCTGACGAGCATGCCTCATTTTAATAAGCCGCCACCGCTGTCACTCAAGATGCTCTGCACTGTCATTGGCCCCAAAGTCGGGCTGGTTGGCAAGTTTCTGCCCCCCAGGCCAGCCCCGGTTGTCTCCATTCCCGTGAGGAAAAGGGGGGCTGTGCAGGGAAAGAGGGCAAGAATGATGAAATATCGGGGCTGACGCTCGTACCTGAGCGACCTGCGATCCCCACCGCCGCCGCGACGACTCGGCCTCTGGGCGGGGACTTTGGGCCAAAAAGAAAAATGATTCAGCCGGGAACTGGTGCTCAGGCCATGGAGAAGCCGGCTCAGACCTCACTTGTTCACGCCGGTGGAGGTGACGGCGACGAGGACCCCAGAGCCCTCGGGACTCTGCGCTCCGCGAGCCGCGGCAGCCCGAGCGGCCGACGGTCCCGCTCTTGACGTTTCCTATTGTTGCCGGAAGTGACGTTCGGGTTCGGGGCTTAAAGGGGACGCACTTTTACCCCCGCGTGTACGATTCGCCAGAGGCGCCCAGCTTCTCCGTCTGCGGCCCGCGCCCCTCTGCAGCCCCCGGCCTCGGCGGCCTCCCGCTCGGCCTCGGGCCGGGACCGGCCTTGGAGCGGACGCTCAGCGGGGTGGGTCTCCTCCGGCCGGACGCACGTGGTGCGGAATCTGCCGCGGGGAGTCGCGGGGTGCGGGCGGCGGCCGCTGGGGTCCGGCGGCGGGGCTCGGCGAGCTGGCACCGGCCGTTCCGAGCACGAACGGGCGGCGCGGCGGGCGCCGGGCCTGGGTGCCGCAGGCGGTCCGCAGGCGGGCTCCGGGGGCGTCCGTGGCGCTGGGCGGCCGGGGCCCTTCCGAGGCGCTGCTGCGCTGGGCCGGGGGTTGTCGCTCCGCTGCCGGCCGGGCGGCCCCGCGGGAGCCCCGACCAGATCTGCCCTTTCAGTGTTTACACCGGCTGGGGCGAGGGGAGCCTCGGTCGGCCCTGCTTCTACACCCAGTTATCCTGTGACACCACCGAAGTAGGAGGAATCGTGGCCGCTCCTCCTTGGAGACGGGGTCGGAGTTTAGGGCTGGGGACTCGCAGACGGACTGTTCCTCCCGCCGATCCTCTGGGCTTGGAGCTGCCTGGAGGAAAAGATCCAAGTAGCTGTCGGTGTTTTCCTTGCTTGCATTTTCCTGGTGTTTCAGTATGTCCCCACCTTCCTAGACGACCCTTGCTTTTTCCCCTCACTACGGAAAAATCAGTCGTGGCCTTTGCAATGATGGCTATCCTAGGATGTTTTTCTAAAATTATCCGCAAACCTTTTAACAGTTGTGTATGTGACACAGCAGTCGTGCTGAGCTCTATGCTTGTCTCTTAGTCCCTTTGTTTCCCCCACAATTTTCTCGGTGTTCTCCCTTTCCTAGACCTTTCTTCCTTCCTCCTAGCGCAGAATTTCCCTAGTAACTTTTGCGGGAAGTTTCATGAACTTAACCTCATCTCTACCCGGTTTTATTTTTAATACATGGTCTTAGATAACAGCTAGCGTTATGAGCTATTCAGACTTCCAGCCGTTCACCATCATCGTTCCAGTCAGTGTAATTGCTTTATTCTGAACTCAAATCACTTTGAGTTCAGTGGCATTCCGTTCGGAGGCATCACTTACCGACCTCTAAAGCAGTGAGATTGAGCTAAATTAAAAATCTTATATCTTAGATGGTACTCTATACCGTTTTCAGGAAGTGTCCCGTAATAAATTCGGATGGGCAGATCTGACTTGTAGAGAGAACCCTGGAGGAAGTTAGGAAGCCATATTGATCTTAGCGATTGAATCTGTGCTGCAAGCTGAGAAATACCTTTTATTATTCCCTTTGATAAGCTTTGTAAAGTGAATATTTAATTTTTAAAAAAGTAACAAGGTATTTTTCATTTCTGAAAGTTATGTTAAAGTGAGCGTGAGTCGTTGATTTGCTTCTTCTATCTTAATTTTAGTGTTTTTCAATTTTATGAGAGACTTAGTAAAGCCTTTCTAGAAAAATGTAGAGCAGTAGCTGTGATTTTTTCTTGTAATACAGTTTTCTAAATTCCTTTATTTTTTCTATTCTGTTTTATCACCTGTCTCCTTCACCTGCAGATCCAAGCTGTGCTTGTATCTTACTGTTCTTCAAACTATGCTGGTCCTGAAGAGGATGCATTCCAGGGAGATACTTTGTTGTCAGAAACCCCGTTATCAGAGGTAGAAGCAATAGGAGACACTCATAAATGTTCCTGTACTTCAGAGAGTGGGAAGATGGAAAGATACCATGAAGTATTAAATAAAACAAATTGCATGTAGTGGAAAGATGGAATTTACATCTAGAAGAATTAAAGGAAGTCTGTGGAAGAGAGACGATTTACATTAAAGTTATAGACTATTTTGGGGGGGGAAATCTGTGCTCAGAACTATGTTAAGATAATTGGGCCGTAAAACAAGCTCAGACTTATATAACTATATTGGCCAATGACATATCTCAGAATATATTTTTGCAGTTATAAGCAGATTAATACCCATTTCATCTTTCCCAGAAAGGTAAAGGCTGGTCTTGGGAGGTCATCTCACTGCTTCCATAGGTCCATCTAACCCCTAGTCATCCTAAAAGGATGTTAAATAAGGTTACTTGCTTAGTGTTTTGTATAATGTGATTTCAGGATCACTTCCTTTTTTTCCCAGTTATCTACCATTTGACAGTACCTGAAATTCTCTCTGCTTAAAAATGTAAATGTTTAGCTAAAAACTGATGAACTGAAAAATACTAAATCCCATGCATGCATATATAAAATTATATTCAATGACCCATGCCTTACCATGTTGATAAACAAGAAGAAACTTGGAACAGTGAGACACTGTGTTCTTAAAGATGAGGAGCGGGTACAGAATGAGGTGGCTAGGCGCTTAAAATAGGAAAGCTTTCCGAACTTAGGATTTTTGCGAATTGCTAGACTTATTACTACTAGTTATGTATAGATACAGAGAAGGTGTGCGAGGAGACGATTTGTATCCCAGGCAACTCCGGAATGTTGACGAGCTGGGAAAGATCATACTGACTCTACTTCACCTGATTTATGAATTTTGTTTTGTTTTTACTGTCAATGACTTCATTTTAAAGGAGCTTCATTCCCAGAGGATTCATTTCTCAAGGTACTGTTATTATTTTCCTTGAAGTGTCCATGGATAGGTACAAATAGATATTTTTAAATGTGTTATTGAGCTTTCTGTAATTTAGAAGCTTATCTCTTTCTAGCAAAGGTTCTTAACCATTTATTTACCTATCCACTTTTTAATGAACCTCCTTTGGGAATAACCTTTGAAAATCTAATGAAAGTCCTACCCATATGAGTCATTAAAAAATAAAATCCCATGGTATTTTCTTTGGGATTTTAAAAATGAACCATCTTATTTTAAAACCTCAAATATTGTTCATATCTTTTGGTGCATATACACACACACATATTCTGTTAATGTGTATTCTTTGGCATCATATTCTTGTTTCACAGGCCTTATGTATGTCAGCTTTAGTAGATACTGCCAATAAGTCTTCTGAAATAATTGTATTGATTTACTTTTTCACAGCATTGTGTGAGTTTCAGGTGTTCTGTGGACTCACATTTTGGATTTATTTTGTAATTCCCTAATGACTAATGACATTGAGTATCTTTTCACATGTTTACTCTTTTCTAAGGTTCCTTTTCAGGTCTCTTTCCCTTTTTCTATTTATTTGTCTTTCTTTTTTGATTACTTTGTAAGAAGTTCTTCACATATTCTAGATATGGATTCATGTTTTTGTTACATATAATGCTAGCATCATATTCTACTCAATGGCTTATCTTTCCAGTCTTAAGGGTATCTTTTGGTGAACAGAAGTTCCTTATTGTAATACAGTTCATTTTGACAATCTTGAGATGTCTTTCGCTACGTGAAGATCATAAAAAATATTCTCTGTGATATCCGGAAAGCCTGGTGACTGTACATTTTACATTTAGGTCTTCAACAAACCTGGAATTAATTTTGTGAAGGATGTGAGGTACCCTTTACATCAGGAGGTCAAGACTTATTTATTCCATCGGAATATCCAGTTGATACAGTACTATTTACTGAAAAAGGCCATCCTTTTTCCAGGGCTACTCAGCATCAACTTTGTCATAAATCTAGTGTCAATATATGCATGGTCTTTTTCTGGACCCTGTTCTGCTCCATTGTCTCATTTGAATTTTTTCACTAGTTCTGAATTTAACTTTATAGTCTTGATATTCAGAGGTTAAGTCCTCCAATTTTGATCTTCTTCGAGATTGTTATCCTTTTCTGTTGCATTTCTATCTAGATTTTAGAATGAGCTTGTCAGTTTCCACCTAAAAAAAACTTCAGGGATTTTCTTTGGAGGGGAGAGGGAATACCTTGCATCTGTGGGTCCATTTATTGAGTTTTTTTTCAATCCTTGAACAAGGTGTATACCTCTTCTATTTAGGGCTTCTTTAATACATTTCAATAAAGTTTTATAGTTTTTGTTTGGAGGTCTTACACATCTTTTGTAGATTTGGTCATATGTTTATATATTTATTGAGGCCACAGTGAATTATTTATACATACATAATTTTAAAAACAATAATTTGGGGAATACAGAGAAATACACTTGATTTTTGTATATTGGCCTTCTGTCCAGTAACTTTCCTAAATTCACTTAATATTTCTTTTAGATTTTTGTTATATACAATTGTGTTATCTGTAAATAATGTCATTTTTATTTCTTCCTTTCTCATCTTTCTTTTTCTTGCATTTTTGTACTGTCTATGAGCTCTTGTACAATGTTGAATAGAAATGATGAAAGTGAATAAATTTGCCTTATTCCCAGTCTCAAGAAGAAAGCTTTCACTATTCCACCATTTATTATGATGTTTTCAACATATTTTTATAAATATCTTTTATCAAGTGCAGGCAGTTCCCTTCTATTCTTAGTGTCCTAAGGATTATATCATGAATGGATGTTGAATTTTGTCAAATGCCTGTTCTGCACGTATTGAAATGATAATAAGGTTTTCCTCCCTTGTTGATGTATTGAATTATACTGATTGGCTTTTTGTTTTGTCTTACACTTTGGGTTATAATCCAATACAATCTTATTAATTGTATCATTCAGATTGCTTGGGCTCTGACCATTGGGAACTGTTTCATTTGGCCCCTGCACTCTTTTGGCATCAGTGAGGGGTGCGTTTGTTTTTTTCTGTGTGTATTTCTCATTTTCTGGAACTACGTGATGCTTCAGGCTCATCTTGTGTATTTTGCCCCAGTGCTAGAACTGACCGTTTCCTCAGGGAGCCATTGGTTCCATTTACTGGAGAATGGTATGACACAAGATCTGGACGCAGGGTGTGCTCTGTGCTACGGGACTGCCCACTGCTTTTCATCACCTTCAGCTGACAGAGAGAGGAAGTATATGTGTGTACACTAAGCTGTCCATGTGCACATATCTATAAATACCACAATATAAAACTATCTATATTAAACTAAATGTGAGTTCGCACTGATGTGTCTAATGCTAATCTGTTAGTCATGATCCACAGTAGCCGTTTCCTCTTGCCAATCTGTGACTTCCCACTGCAGCAATGAGAAACCTGGCTCGTACTATTGAGCCATCCATTTACCTAGTTGTCCACTTCCGATATAGATGTATGGAAGTGTTAGAATTAACCCAAATGTACATAGGAAACAATATTTATGTGCAATTAATTTTTGCCTTTAGTCTCAGGTGACTTTGTCAGCCCCTTTTCCACCTACTCCTTTCTATGAGGGGGTTTCACACATAGGTAACAGAGTTACTCTCATCACAGTCTGTTATTTCTTCCTGGGATATCCCAGCTTCCTAAATGGGTTTTTTAATTTGCATACATGAAGGGTCACTCTTTGTGCTGTACAGTTTTGTAGGTTTTGACAAATGCATAAAGTCGTGTATCTCCCATTACAGTATCAATAGTTTCACCTCTCTAAAAAATTCCCCTGCGCTCACCTATTCAGGTCTCCTCCCTCCCTCTTAACCTTGGCAACCACTGATCTGAGGTTTTTATTGCCTCTAGTTTTGCCTTTTCTAAAGTGTCATATAATTGAAATCATACAATATATAGCCTTTTCAGACTAGTTTCTTTTATTTAGCAATATGCATTATTAAAGTACATCCATGTGTTTTATGGCTTTATAGCTCATTTCTTTTTATTGCTAAGTAATATTCCATTGTATGGTCATACCACAGTTTTTTTTCATGCATTCACCTATTGATGGACATCTTGGTTGTTTTCACTTTTTCATGATTATGATTGGAATTGCTGTAAACATTCACATGTAGGATCTTGTATGTACATAAGTTTTCAAATTAGTTCAGTGAATGTCTGTTTGCATGATTGCTGATTGTATGGTAAGATTATGTTTAACTTCATAAGAATCTGCCAAATTATCTTGTAAAATCGCTGTGCCTTCCCACCAGCAATAATGAGAGTTCCTGTTGCTCCATATTCTCATAAATATTTGGTATTGTCAGTTTTTTGGATTCTAGCCATGAAAATAGGTGTGTAGTGATACTTCACTTTTTTAATTTGCATTGCCTAATGATATGTTGAGCATCTTTTCTTATGTATTTATTTGCCACCTGTATATTTTTTTTGTTGAGATGTATGTCTAGATATTTTACCCATTTTTTTAGTTGGGCGCTTTGTTTTTTTTACTCTAAAAGGTCTTTTATATTTTAGAAACAAACTTTTATTCAGTGTGTTTTGTAAATATTCTCTCCCTGTCTGTGGCCTGTCTTTTCACTCTCTTAACATTGTCTCTTATAGAACAGAAGTTCTTAATTTTAGTGAAGTACAATTTGTAACTTTTGTAATTCACGGACTGTGCTCTGATATTGTCTGAAAACTCTTTGCTGATCCCAGGGAAGCAGGGAGGTGGTTGCCTAGGTGAGCAAGTCATGCATCTCGGGGGGCAGGTGGGAGAAGGGAAATAAAAGTCTAGGGTTTAGCAGCTCTTTATGTGGGCTTTCACGTGATCATTCTTATTTCAAGCCCCTGGCCATACCCCTCAGCTTTTCAGAAGTCTCTTGGGCCCCTCACTTCGGAACCTCTCTTGCTGCCGTTGGTTTTCCTCTAAATAGGCAACGCGATAAGCCTGTCTCTGCTCTGCTGGGCCGGTTGTCACTCATCTACTGCTTCCCTCCCTCCCGCATTTTGTTGGTACCTCCTCCGTCTTGTGGAATCTGCCCTCTTGAGTATATATGGGTTTTTCATTACTTTCATGTTAGTGTTGTCTAGAAAAAAGAAATGTAGGTAACATGCATTTAATCTGCCATATTTTTCCTCCTGAACCCTGCATTTTTTAACTTATCTATTTTTATTTTTTTCACAAAGTTTCTGGTTGGCAACTATGTGAGGTCAGAGCCCTGGGAATAATGCCTAAATCTATGCTAAATTTCTTTGTTTCCAGTTTTTACTAATTTTATTGTGGAGCTTTTATAAGTCTCTGTAATTGTCATTTATGGACATTATTTCAGGTTGATATGTCTTCTCAAATGGTACTTTGTTGTTCTCAATATTGGGGTGAGTATGACACAAATTAAGATACATATAAAATGAGAACATGAACATAGGCAAGCATACTTTTTGCAAGGAAAATATTGGGGGGAAAAGTGAACTCTATGTTTAGGAATATATGGTAGATACAAGATACTACTAGATGAGTAGGAGATAATAGCTGATAAGATGAGTATGGTCAAGTGCCTATAGGAGATGAGAACAACATAGAATAAAGTTCAAAAATATGCAGACTGAACCAATGTTTCATGGATTTTTTTTTTAGGTGAAAAATTAGATTTCAAAGGCTGAAGCTGAATGTAAATGTTAAATAATGGCAACTGGTGACTTAAAAAGAAGCTTACGGAACCTAGAGCAAGTGCTTCGCTCTCTAAATTATCCTAATGAGGTGGATTGTATGGGGTAAGGTCTACATCAAACCTACATATATTCTTTTTGGTAATGATTTAAGAGACTATTTGAAATGAGAGAAATATCTAAATAATAACCCATATTTTATGAGTCATTTAAAAATTATCCTTGAAATGATTACAATTTTTAGAAAGCAGAGGATTAAAAGTTTGTATCTGAGTATGAATTAATGAAAAATGCCAACTCAACATCTAAAACACCTTTTAGAAGTAGAAGCACAATGTATCAGTATAAGACATGGTCTCTGTACAACTTTTAAACACATAGAATAAAACGGATTTTACAAATTACATAACTAGTTCACTAATTCACTGATTATATACTAAATTATATAATTTACTGCCATCTCACATTTAGTTGGATGGTATTTCCTTCTGATTTGGAAGGTTCTAGTTAATAGATTTCTTCTGACAACCTATACCATACTCAAAGATTACTATTAAACCGATTCGTTTAACAGACTCACCTTGAACCTTTCACTTTAGTTTCCACTTTCCAAATATGATTAACTCGCTTTTGTAGAATATAGCAGCACACACTTCCTGTATATTCACGCCAGTCTAATTTGGTAGGCCTGTTGTCTTCTATCCTTTAATACTTACCTGGTATTATTGATTGATGAAATCTTTTCCCCACTGAAGTCTGGTACTCTGTTCTGCTCGTTGCAGCATCCCTGCCTCCAGTATTGCCTAGCACATGTTAGGAGCTAATGAAACATTTATTCAATGAGTAGGTGTCAGTGGTCAAGTCCAGATTATGTATATATTCAAGTTGTAGAGTGAAACTTGGTTGAACCAGCTACTAAGTGGAATCCTGGCACAATGCACTTTACGTCTAAGCATGGATGTTGTCATTTTACACTAGGGAGAGCTGACCCGCAAGACGACCGCAGATGAGGGGTAGAGAGGCGAGAGGCGGGAGAAGGCTTCGTGCTAGCAGCCGCTACTACAGGCCTAGGGCTACATGAGAAGCGGGGGCTCCGTAGTGTGTACTGGCTTCCCTTAGTACGCAGAGCAGAGGATCTCTCCTGTCTGGTCGTGCTGGGACCTAGCCAGTTTGAGTGGTCAAGTTTTCTCTTACCACATGAAGCATCAACATTCTAAAAGACAGCTTAATAGGAATAGTTCTGAAATACACCGGTTATTCTGTCTTCTGAGTGCAGTGCGTGAACATTTGATTTCTACTGATGATTCAAGTGCCCTTAAGAACAAGGACTTTCAGATGCTTCCATAGCACTGAGGTGGGTCACACGCTTGGCAGCTGCTCCCGCGGGTGGCCCCCCACCCTCACATACATCTGCCCCCACACATTTTACTTCGTACTACTTTTTCCCGTTTTAAATTTCTTCTTGCTACCTGCTGTTTTTTTGTGTTGGTGTGCCAGTTAATAACTTTTTCTTGCTGTTTCTAACCAAAGTCCTTGGAAACTAAATGACCAAGATATTTGAGCTTGTTTAACATGCGGTGTTAAATGCAGAACTGGCAAAATTCTATTCACAGTCTGCATAAAATGGGCAGATTTTGCTGCTCAAAACATGTTTTTCATTTCCTGTTTTTGAACTGTCTTCCAATAGACAAGATTGCCAAGGCAGTTTTCTCGTTGGGTAAAATATTATTGTACCTATTAACATAAAAGAGAAACAATTTATTTGTTCTTAAGAACAGTGCAATCCTGTACTTGTTCTCTGCCTTATTAAAAAGCTGGGGTTGGAAGGTTTATATATGTCCTGAATTTTCTGGAAAACAAATGTTTTACATAAGTGCATTTTTACTTCAGTTAAACAAATATAAGTGGCTAAGTGAACAAATACCTCCTGTGCTTGGTGGTGGGAGAATCTGTGAAGGTACTTCCCACTGGGAAGATAAGACCCATCCGTGCAGACAGTTAAGAGTACAAGACAGAGCACGAGGCATCAGATACTGACTGTGCCGCGTCCCTCGGGGAGATCACGCGGGTCAGAAGGTGGAGGATGGCTTCGTGGAAGGCTTGAGATTTGAGAAATCGTTCAGAAGGAACGAATAACAGTCAAGAACAGCGGGGCACCTTTCTAGACTGGAGGACTAGCCGCGTAAGGCGCAGATTTCACGTGAGCCTGGTGTGAGTGGAGGAGAGTGAGCAGATCGGCCTCACGACTTTCCAGCCCCGTTTGCCCTTCTCCAGCTCGGAAGCCGTGAGGTTCCGCCCCTGCAGGCTGGGGGACAGAGCAAAGGTGGTAGGAGAGCACGTGTTTGCATAGTCATAAAGGGTGCTTGAGTGCTGACGGTGGTGCTTTTGTCTTATTAGTAGGAGCAAACGGACTAGATCGTGAGGTGAGGCCTGGGGAGTCAGTAAGTCCGGCGGCAGATAGGCTGTCGGGGTAGAGAGCTCTCCGAAGTCAGCAGACGAGCAGTGGTGTCTCCGGGTGATTTGGCCAGACTGGCTTGGAGTAGGGGTCGTGTCACCCGATTGCTGCAGCCTCAGTGTTAAGTTATAAATTACTGACACTCCTTATGTTTCCATGATTATCCAACTTTGTGGACTTAGGATCATTAAAAATCTTTTTCTTTTTTCCTAACAGCTTGGTGAAGGGGGATCCGGCAGCATGTCTGCCCATCATCAGCTATTCCCTCACCTCATACTCACCTTACGTAGCAGAACTTCTGGTGGAGTCCAATACAGAGCTCGTGGCAAAGAACGACTTGCGCTTTGTGGATACTGTCTATAAGGTGTTTTTGAGTTTATGAAGCATCTATTTTAGAAATCATTGAATGTTTTTAAGGTTGATGTTTTTATAACTCCTTAAATATATGTAGCACACAGTTGCAGGATATTTTCAGCTAAGTGAACAAATACCTCCTGTGCTTGGTGGTGGGAGAATCTGTGAAGGTACTTCCCACTGGGAAGATAAGACCCATCCGTGCAGACAGTTAAGAGTACAAGACAGAGCACGAGGCATCAGATACTGACTGTGCCGCGTCCCTCGGGGAGATCACGCGGGTCAGAAGGTGGAGGATGGCTTCGTGGAAGGCTTGAGATTTGAGAAATCGTTCAGAAGGAACGAATAACAGTCAAGAACAGCGGGGCACCTTTCTAGACTGGAGGACTAGCCGCGTAAGGCGCAGATTTCACGTGAGCCTGGTGTGAGTGGAGGAGAGTGAGCAGATCGGCCTCACGACTTTCCAGCCCCGTTTGCCCTTCTCCAGCTCGGAAGCCGTGAGGTTCCGCCCCTGCAGGCTGGGGGACAGAGCAAAGGTGGTAGGAGAGCACGTGTTTGCATAGTCATAAAGGGTGCTTGAGTGCTGACGGTGGTGCTTTTGTCTTATTAGTAGGAGCAAACGGACTAGATCGTGAGGTGAGGCCTGGGGAGTCAGTAAGTCCGGCGGCAGATAGGCTGTCGGGGTAGAGAGCTCTCCGAAGTCAGCAGACGAGCAGTGGTGTCTCCGGGTGATTTGGCCAGACTGGCTTGGAGTAGGGGTCGTGTCACCCGATTGCTGCAGCCTCAGTGTTAAGTTATAAATTACTGACACTCCTTATGTTTCCATGATTATCCAACTTTGTGGACTTAGGATCATTAAAAATCTTTTTCTTTTTTCCTAACAGCTTGGTGAAGGGGGATCCGGCAGCATGTCTGCCCATCATCAGCTATTCCCTCACCTCATACTCACCTTACGTAGCAGAACTTCTGGTGGAGTCCAATACAGAGCTCGTGGCAAAGAACGACTTGCGCTTTGTGGATACTGTCTATAAGGTGTTTTTGAGTTTATGAAGCATCTATTTTAGAAATCATTGAATGTTTTTAAGGTTGATGTTTTTATAACTCCTTAAATATATGTAGCACACAGTTGCAGGATATTTTCATATAGATTTATCTCATTTAAATGTAGTCCCTGTTTTAATCAACATTTAATTCAAGTTTGCTGTGTGTTTCATACCCAAATAAATAGGATAACTAGTAAACATGTCATTGATTATCATTTGCCCTTTTTATGTCAAATTTTGGTAAACTTTGGTATACTGGCAAAAGCTAGAAATGTGATTTTATTGAGTAAAGTTTGTGGTTCATGGAATGATGAGTTAATTCCATTGTTTATAAGAAGAAACAACAACTTTGAGATTTTTGTTCCTTGAGGTCTAAGACCATGTCTTCTATTTACCATAGTATCTGCATGTTTTCTGTATGCGTTTCGAACTTAATCTCATATTTGACTAAAAAAAAAAAACCCCTACTTAGTATTATTAATTTTTGCCCAAATACTGTGGTTTTCTTCAGCTTCTTAAAATAGCAAAACCTTTTTGAAGTAGAGTTGCATTTGATGAAATGGGAAATTTTATATGTAGAGTCTTACAATTCATAATAGTTTACTTGGGAACCTTCTGTGGAACCCTAAGAGGTACTTTGAAGAAATCCTAGGGTTCCACAGGGGAGGTTTAGGAATTATTGGTGTCATCTGTTTCTCTCATCCTACAACTGAAAAATTGAAACTCAGAGGCCCACCGAATTGTCTAAAAGAGCATGGAGTAGAAGAATTATAAACAAATAAGAACTGTGGTTCTCTGACAGCTGGTGTGGCCTCTATAGTGAGCTAAGGTATTTTTCAAGTAGCTATGAGGCTATTTGAACTTTTTGATCATTGGCTGTATTTTTCCACCTCTCTAGACAGCTGCCTATTTTCAGTACATTCTTAGCTACCTGTTTTCTGCCTGGATGCCTCTCTTACCTGATCTCCAACCACACCACCCCCACAAATCTCGAGTACACTTTATTTAATGGCTTGATCCTCCTTTTTTCAAGATAGCATTATGTTCCTGACCAGGTGGCCATTTATCATTATATATTATTGAAAGAAATTGCTCACAACCACTACATTGATCTATTCCTTCTTTACAGCTTCTTCGTGATCAATTTAATTATAAACCAATCTTGACAAAAAAGCAGTTTCTCCAGTGTGGGTTTGCAGAATGGAAAATCCAAATCATTTGTGATATTTTGAATTGTGTGATGAGAAAGCACAAGGAGTTAAATAGTCTTGAGAAGGTAATTATTATTAATAGATTTTAGCTTATGTTAAGTGACTCGGTGTGTTAAAGTATAAAATCAATACCTTAACTAATGCAGATTAACACATAATACAGCAATGCATTAATCACAGATTTGGATAACCTTGTAATACTTGGTTTAAATACTAGTCACTGGTTTTTACACATTTGCGATTTGGAGCTACTAGGCCTAAACTAACAGTTCAAACAATACATTTTCATCACTTCTTAGTTTTCAAAAGATGTGTGTTCTCATTTAGACTCTCAGTATTTGGCAGTCGTATTCCATATTTTAATATTTAAATGATACTAGGATTTAAATATACATCATGCTTTCCCACAGAATTTATTATGACACTTCCCTTTTTTAGGCTCCATCACAACATAGAAAGAAAATCAGTTCTGGTAGGTCAGCACCTTCTTCAAGCAGTGAGAAGACATCTACAGAAACGGTTGGCGTTGACATTGGTGGCAGGTTTATGACTTCAGGGAAGGTAGGAAAATGCGAAGAAAACGTGTCATATAGTGTGAAGAATTATCTGCCTAATCGATGCAGTGTACAAGGTTCACTTTTCTAACTAGCAGCTGTTAAAACAGTCTAGTCAGATATTACAGTATAAAGATTTTTAACAATGCATACCATATATTACCTGCGGGACATTCCTAAAGTTTTAAGAAGAGGATACGAATGTAAATTGAGCAAGCTTTCTCTTTATACTTCTAATTCCTAATTCTGCCTCATTTCCCAGAGAAAATAACGATGACTTAGGAAGGTAACATTACGTGGTCCTGAACATTACCTCTCTGTTATTTATCTAGTCTGCCTGAAACATGGAAACTAAAGAGCACGCCATTAGTTATAGTGACAGGTTATGGTGATTCATTTACGTACATTCATATTTCTATACCACAAATGTTCATTATACAGATTGATAGTCTCGCAGTCTGTAATACGGTTTTGGGTTAGTGTTTTGAACATTTTCTTTGTTGATCGTTATCTTCCCTGTCCCCGTCTGCTTTGAACAGCAGAGGCTGAATGAGTCCATTGCACTTAGAGGTGGGAAACCTATCTCCAAGAGAAATTAAAGCCAAATATTATTTCATAATGATAAACATACTTTCACCTGTCTTCCATCTGGGGGAAACCAGAGTTTTGAGTTTGCAGGTTAGACCAGATGAATAATCAATGTATAATTAGATAAAGGATGTGAATAGTTTCTGGCTGAAGTAAAATCTAGAAAGTTATTTTTCCCCAGTTCATAATTTAACAGTCTATTAAAAGGAAATTTACATATTTGTGTATTTATATAAAATAGTGACATTTTAGTATAAGGAAAAAAAGTTCTTATGTTAATAACTTTTAAAAAATATATATGTTTTGCTCCAGGTAATAAAGGAATAAGAAAAGATGGTTTCTGAATAGATGGTCATAGTTCTTGTCCACATTAATCACTAAATCATCTCACTATTGTCAGTATGATTTTCTGTTAAGTGATTTATATCTTATATCCTTCCCCAGCTAGAATTTATATAAACGGGGGTTTTCCTATACTGGTTCTTTTTACCTTCTTTGTTCTTAGTGCAGTATTAGGCACACTAAGCACTTACTGAACATGAATGGGTATGATGATGTATTTTTCAATCTTCCATTCCAGTATTGGGGCTGAGGATAATCTAAATTGTCCTAAGAAAGGAAGATGCAAAATTTCAAGACATTAGACTTGCTTTTAATTTTCTTAAAAGTTTTGTTATCCATCAAAATTTAATCAACTACATCAAATCTGATAATCAAAATTAGAAAATACTGAAAATACTCTGACTTAGAAAAGTTGGAGTCAGTGAGTACATTCCTTTGTGTAGGGGCAAAAGTTGAGTCATTGTTAAAGCTAATCGTCTCTTCTCCCGGCACCTTTTGTGGACGGCTCTCTGTGACTCCGTGTCCCATGCCGTAAGATTTTACCGTGCGTGTGCACCTGCCTCTAGGAAAAGAAGTGGGTAGAAGACTCCTGCATCAGTGGGTTTGACCTGATGCTTTGTCATTATTAAGTTTGAGTTATTAGCTGGAAGTCTGATACTTTCTGGTTTGTTTAATGGAAATATTGTAATGAGTCGTACTCAGAGAGCCAGTTCTTGATTATTTATATATGTGAATTATGTGATAACCTTTTAAAAATAACTTGTTGTTATGGAACATTTCAAATGTATATGAAAGTATCCATTCCCAGATTCAGGAATTTATCAACTCTTAACTAATCTTGTTTCATATTTATTATAACTACTTTTCCCAGCATCTTGCCACACAAATCTAACACAATTCGAAATAAATCCCAGACACCATTGGACTGCATAGTTGAATATTTTTCCATTTAAGAATGGCTTTAAAAAATCATAACCGCATTTCATCATCACACACAATGCTAATAGTTTAATTCATAACGCTTGATATATATGTTATATGTTGTAATTTAAACTTTTGTAAATCTTGAAGGGAAGCTAGGATGTTTCTTTTGCAGTTACCATGTATATATTTAAAGTAACTGTGTAAGGAAAACACTGAAGCAGCTGCCATTTTTCTGTCTCTGCAGAAGAAAGCTGTGGTGATCCGTCACCTCTATGACGAAGATGGTGTTGAAATTCCTGAAGATGCGCGAACTGCAGATACAGATGTTAATGAAGCATTTGACGTGTGTGATGTACAGGCCACTGAAATAAAGATTCCTGAAGGAAAGGAAGCTGAAATCAAGTCTGAGCAACAGGTAAGAATTTTGGGCTTCTTTAACAGATGCCAGTATTTCCTACTTGTGTGTACATGATGACTCCAACCTCTCAGCTTTGGGATGTCTCTAGCCTTTGGAATTATTAATCATGGCACATTAGCTTTGTGATCATTGCTTAAGAATCCACAAGTCTTACTGATTGTAATTCAACAGGTACCACTTGCTGCTCATGTTTAGGGCGCTGGGCTGGGTGTTCTGGGTGACGCAGAGGTGGCCTGGGAACTTCTCATCTAGTGAGTGACGGAGGTGTACTGCTCTGTACAGTGAGGGCCTGTGTCGCTGGTTCCCTGTGTCTGCAAGTGGGACAGTGGTGTGCCACGGCCCCTCATTTCCCTTTCTGGGCCCTTGCTGTCCTCTCTCTCCCTCTGTCTCAGTATATTTCTATTACTTTATTGCCACAGACTCTGTTAGAGTGTCCAGTCTCCACCACTATTGCTGAAACTGTTTTTTCTGTCCCCTTCTATGTCTTGTGACTTTTGTACATCTCAATATACAGTTGGCATTTATAAAAACTACCAAATGGCCATTAGGCTTATTTCCTATTTATAGAAAGCTGAACAGTTTCAATGCATTATCATTTCCCAGTCATTTCCTCTTAGCCTTGTGCTAAGTATTACAAGAAGCTAGTGAGCACCAGTTTTATTGTGCTACCCCGTTTGGTTCTGAGAGCTTTATGCGATTAATTCATTTAATCCTCACTAGAACCGTTGAAGTAAGTGCCGCTGTTCTCTTCTTAGATGAGGAAATTGAGATACGGGGGTCATACCTCTTGGGTGGGCAAGCGTGTCATCCAAGCCGCCCGCCTCCAGACGGCACTCTCAGCGCTCATGCAGTTCTGCCTTTTCTAACTGTGGACACAACATAAAGGAAATGGGAACACATTGATGTTTAAGGGAATTCTACTTTCTGTAATACTATTTTTAATCTTTCTAACCATTATAGGGCATAAAAGTTCATCCTGAGATTACTGTACTGCAGACCCGGCTTGCTGACTGCGAGGAAAAGCTTAAAAAACTGACTTGGATAGAGAGTAGATTAGACTCTTTGGAAGAAAAAGTGAAAGGAAAAATACTGGTAAATGAAAAAAGCTGGAGTAATCTTCTAAGTCGTGTCACTCTTCTTGAAACAGAAATGCTTTTGTCTAAAAAGGTATTTTCTTTCCGTAACGTTTACAGGATATCTCAGATATGATAAAGTTTCTACTCATTGTTATGTGTGTATTCTTCTGGAAAAACTAAATAAGAGAACATTAGGTCACAGGGAAGTAGTTGGAGAGAAGCCCCGATTAGATGCAGCCAGGTCTGTTGCTATGGTTGTGGCCGTAGTTTTTCTCTTCCAAATAATGTGACAAACCTGTAAGTTCAGCTTCTAGAGCTGTTAATACTTGAGGTAATTATTTTATATCCTTTCATAGTACAAATGGTCTGTTTTTACCGGGTGAAGAGAAGTTGGCAGGGCAGAAAAAACTAAAATTGTAGCTGCTCACTCATTTACTTCATCAAATTGTAAACTTCATGGAAACAGTTACCAAATTTGCCACTGTCTTATCAGCTTCTTGATTCAGTCAGGATTCCAATTCCTGGTCCTAGTCCATCTTTCCTTCCTAGAAAGTAAAGTTAGTAGATTTAAGAAGTTTACTATCTGCTTCCATGTTTAAAAGATAATTTCTTACACATGTGAATATTTGTGTATTGCTTTATAAGTAAAATAAAAACATCTGAAAATCTATCATGTCATCTTTATATTTTATGCTTAGTAAGAATATAAAATGAACATTTTCCTTTTCATTTCATTCATTGCATTCTAATTACTGAACATGTCATTCCAGCGCAGTGCATACAGAGAGTTCAGTGAGGTGAATGAAGACTGTGCTAGTACCGACATGGATATTCTGAATCTTGGTAAGTTCTTACAGTATTGATGGTATGGCAAGGAGTTTTCAGAAAAATGATTTTTATAGGTATCTGGTGATTTTAATATTCCCAAGCTTCATTGTTTTGGAAACCACAAAGCTCTTAGGAACAAAGAAAATATTGGGCTTACAGACTACTGAACCCGAGGATTGCAAAAGAGGCCGGCTTACGTATGTTACATGACAGAGGGATTCAGTGAACTCCAGTGTATAAAATTGCAAACTTTTAGCTATTTAACTCTTAATTGCTAAGTGCTCTAGATTATTAAAAATAGATCTCCAAAGTTTCTAGTTTAAACTTAAGTGGCAGCCTTCACATAAGTAAATAATTTATAAGAGAAGAAAATCCATTTGTCAGTAACCTGTAGAATGTTGCGATTCGCTTGCATTTGAATAGTTCACTAATGATGGTGAAGTGAGAAGGACCTAAAATCAGGACAAGCCTGTCCATGTCACTTACTTTTACTAGACTGCTGACATTTTCCTTATGACTGACAAGCAAGGATAAGATTTCTGGGCTCTTTCAGGGATAGCTTTTATTTATTTTTTGATTCTTACACTTTTTGAAAAGACAGGTCTATATTTTGTCTTAAGTTTGTAATTTAATCATCTTTGCAGAAGAGATGGAGCAGGTCTGAATCTAGGCAACTTGTCTGCTGAAGTTTCCTTGACTACTACGCAGTCAGTGCACATGCCAGTGTCATCGCACAGAGAACAATTTCGGTGACTAGGCTATTAAATATGTAACTACTTGAGGCTCTGTTTCAGGTACTAAATATATTATAGACTGCAAATTTCAGATTAGGTAAAGTTTTGACTTTTTCCCATTCAGCATTCACTTATTTATTCAACAAATTCAAAGCCCAACTCTGACGATCCTTGAAATCAAAGAATTTTGTCTTATGTTCTGTACCTTTGACCTTCTATCGCCAGTGTCTGTGTATAGTAGAGCTCAAAGTTTTACTATACTGAGAGAATATGGAGTACCTGCTATTTGCAAAACACTGCCTCGTCCAAGTTTGATTTTGTATCATCAGACTTATTACCTTTTTAATTACATTATTACAGATAATGTAATTATCCGTTCAGTAAACGGAAAACCAAATTCAAGCCACTGTGCTAGGACTTAAAGTGATGAGCAGGTAGACCTCTATCTGAAATGGATTAGAGATCATGAATAAGGTGAATATCTGATCTCAGTAAGTTTATAATCTGACCTCTACTGTGAAGAATCAAATTTATAAAGCCTCACACTGGATGCCTTACATATGCGTGCCGCTCGGAAGCAGGTCCGATTTCATTTGGATGTTGGGAGCGGTAATTCACCAACGTGGTTTTCAGATCGTGTTACATTGGGAATGGTCTTTGGGAAGGGCCCGATTTGTTTTCCCTTACGGTGTTTCCGTGCGGAGTGATAAGGCATCTGTGTGTCGGGGAGGAGGAGGCAGGAGAGGCTTTCCCTGTGAGGATCGGGCTGTGCCGGGCGATTTCGGACGCGATTTCGGACGGGGTTAACGGGAGCAAGAGTCCCGGTCTGGGTGCTGTCAGGAGGCGGGAGCAACCCGATGACCGAGGGTAAAAGTGACACAGCTGGAACTTTCAGCAGAAAAGAATCGCTTGGGTCTGTGGGGAGAGGCTGTAGCTGGGCCTGTGGGTGGTTGTCTGCGCCGGACGTACGAGCGCTCTCATTTCCTTCTGTTTCATCAAGTAATGAAGTGACTTCGTAATGGTGTTGCTTTTCTGTGAAATTATGTTCAGTAGGGATACAATACAGTGACCTGGTTGCTCATTACTAGACTGTCAGAGCTGTGTTTTGTTCTATGCCTTTGTCCCCACAGAAGAAAAATTATTTGTCAAGTTGTGGTGCCACAAGACTGTGTGGTTCCAGTGTGACTAGTTCCTACATTTGGATGCATGAAGGAAGTTGTAGCAAATGAGCAGAAAGGCCAAATCCTGGAGTTTGTGTGAGGTCATAGATTTTTAGCAAAGCTGGTACGATCAGATTTGTGTTTGAGAAAGGTCATCATGAAAGCAGAATAGTGATTGGTTAGAGGAAACTAACACATGGAAGGACAGTATCTCAGAACAAGAGTGAAGGCGTCTACCAAGGCAGTAACAACGAGATGAAGAGGAGGCCATTTACATGGGGAATATTTAGGTGTTAAAATTGATCGGCCCTGCTGATGAAAGTGGAGGTGACGAAAGAGTGAAGACATCAGGGCAACACTGAGTTTGACGTGCATGGTTGGTAGACAGTTGCTGCTCTTAGTGAAACAGAACTCAGGAGGAGGAGAAAGTTTGGGAGAAGATAATGAGTTCACATTTGAATATTAAATTTGTATAACATACTTAAGACAAAATATGCAGAAGGCACTGCCCTTGATCTGGAAGCTCTGTCGTACAAGTGACAGGCTGCACCCGCTCTCCGGAAGTAGTGTTCTGATGAAACCTTTCGTAAGCCAAGTGGCATAAAATGAACAAGCACTTACCATTAATGTATATGGAAAGATTTTTTAGCATTCCCAGGCTCAATAAAGAACCAATCTTAGGCTTTTCTGATACCTTAGGGCACATCTTTCTAATGAATGCACAAAATAAATAAGGGATAAAGCACAGATGCCCCCAGACACAGTTCAGAGCTCTGGCAGCCCGACGAGAGGCCGAGTGTGGTTCCGGGTAGACACGGGGCGTGGCCTCTCGGGGTGCACGCGATCTCTGTAAGGCCCACTGCAAAACAGACATTGAACACTGTTGCTTTTTGTTTTTATCTGTAGAAGTGAAAATCCTCTTCAGATTTCTTCTGGTTAGCAAAGACAGGTACTAATGTAGGTTTTTTCATAAAAGCAAAGGGACATGATGCAAGCATTTGAATAGCAGGAGATACAGTATAATTAGGTGGCAAAGCACCTGACTGGTTCTCAGTGAAGTAAGGTCATAAATCTCGAAAGCTGGTCGGTCATGAATGATCAAGTCACATGGGGAGTTGGCTAGACAGCCTCATGTCTTCGTCCTTAGAGACCCCCTCCTTCAGAGGGATCTATCAGCGGTTACCTCGGAAACACCACAAGGCTGCAGGGGCCCCTGCTCTCCCCTTTCCTTTTCAGCTTGAACTTAATCACCCATTCTTTCCTCAGCCTCCCAGACCACAGCTAAGACCCCACTGTGTTTAAATAAGGAAGACTGACCAGAGGTCCAGCAGAGCAGTAAGTCACAGAAGAGAACATGCACTTGGCTGATATGGCTGGTGTTCTGTCCACCCAGCTCTGATCTGTGGAATACCCCGTGTGGCCCCCAGCCCGCTTAATGCCAGCTTTCTCCTACCATAAGGCATACCTTCAAGGCCATGTACACACACACACACACACATATCCCTTGACGTCTGGGCCTCAGAAAGCAGGGCAGAGAGAGCCGTTCCTTCACCATCCACTGTCGGTCTTCCCAATCCTCCTTTCCCATCCTAGGACCCTGAACCCCCTATTTCTGAATAGCATTTGAAAATGTTCAATACCTTTAGCAGACACCCATCTCTTATCTTCAGAAAAGAATCCAAGATTAGGGCATAGTGGATATAGTTCCTACCTCGTTTCAAATGATTCCTTGAAACTACCTATTGTCTGTAGCCCATGCTGACCGATCTGGGTGTGGCTGGTCTTCAAAGCTGTGCCATCTGATCTTGACCCCTGAGCTCAGCTCATTGGACCAATCTCTAATCCAGGAATCCCAGTCCAAAAGGTGTTGAGACAAATTTTTGCTCCCTTGAAAATTTAGAATTAGGACCAGTCCGTCAGATGATGTTGAGCTTCTGTCCCGAGTTCGTGCTGGGGAGTGAGCCGAGGGATGGGGCGAACCGGCAACCCAAGGACCCACAGGAGGCCGTCGCTCTCTGAGAGATGGAAGGAAAGGTCCTCCTAGTTGTTTCAGTCCTTACGTGGTACTGCTTTGTTCCCTGACTGAAGTTGTCTGTGTGGGCTTACAATCAAACTGTCTTGATGTAAACCAGCTTAAATGGGTGTGTAATTTTTTCTTTCTTGCCTTGTTTTTCCAGCCAGATATACTGTGACTAAAACATAGGGTTTATGGGATTGATTTAACAGAGCATGTCTTATCTGTGATGTTCTGTAATTGGTTCAGTTGTAGAAAAGATTTGCCATCATTTCACTGAATGTGTGACATCAGGATGCTGAAAATGTAAGGTTGTTCAAGTCTTTAAAAAAAGAAATCTCTGAATGAATTTTGAGCATTATTTTTTCCACACATCAACTCAGAATAGAATATTTCTTGATATAGGCTATTAAATATGTAACTACTTGAGGCTCTGTTTCAGGTACTAAATATATTATAGACTGCAAATTTCAGATTAGGTAAAGTTTTGACTTTTTTCCCATTCAGCATTCACTTATTTATTGAACAAATTCAAAGCCCAACTCTGACGATCCTTGAAATCAAAGAATTTTGTCTTATGTTCTGTACCTTTGACCTTCTATCGCCAGTGTCTGTGTATAGTAGAGCTCAAAGTTTTACTATACTGAGAGAATATGGAGTACCTGCTATTTGCAAAACACTGCCTCGTCCAAGTTTGATTTTGTATCATCAGACTTATTACCTTTTTAATTACATTATTACAGATAATGTAATTATCCGTTCAGTAAACGGAAAACCAAATTCAAGCCACTGTGCTAGGACTTAAAGTGATGAGCAGGTAGACCTCTATCTGAAATGGATTAGAGATCATGAATAAGGTGAATATCTGATCTCAGTAAGTTCATAATCTGACCTCTACTGTGAAGAATCAAATTTATAAAGCCTCACACTGGATGCCTTATATATGCGTGCCGCTCGGAAGCAGGTCCGATTGCATTTGGATGTTGGGAGCGGTAATTCACCAACGTGGTTTTCAGATCGTGTTACATTGGGAATGGTCTTTGGGAAGGGCCCGATTTGTTTTCCCTTACGGTGTTTCCGTGCGGAGTGATAAGGCATCTGTGTGTCGGGGAGGAGGAGGCAGGAGAGGCTTTCCCTGTGAGGATCGGGCTGTGCCGGGCGATTTCGGACGCGATTTCGGACGGGGTTAACGGGAGCAAGAGTCCCGGTCTGGGTGCTGTCAGGAGGCGGGAGCAACCCGATGACCGAGGGTGAAAGTGACACAGCTGGAACTTTCAGCAGAAAAGAATCGCTTGGGTCTGTGGGGAGAGGCTGTAGCTGGGCCTGTGGGTGGTTGTCTGCGCCGGACGTACGAGCGCTCTCATTTCCTTCTGTTTCATCAAGTAATGAAGTGACTTCGTAATGGTGTTGATTTTCTGTGAAATTATGTTCAGTAGGGATACAATACAGTGACCTGGTTGTTCATTACTAGACTGTCAGAGCTGTGTTTTGTTCTATGCCTTTGTCCCCACAGAAGAAAAATTATTTGTCAAGTTGTGGTGCCACAAGACTGTGTGGTTCCAGTGTGACTAGTTCCTACATTTGGATGCATGAAGGAAGTTGTAGCAAATGAGCAGAAAGGCCAAATCCTGGAGTTTGTGTGAGGTCATAGATTTTTAGCAAAGCCGGTACGATCAGATTTGTGTTTGAGAAAGGTCATCATGAAAGCAGAATAGTGATTGGTTAGAGGAAACTAACACAGGGAAGGACAGTATCTCAGAACAAGAGTGAAGGCGTCTACCAAGGCAGTAACAACGAGATAAAGAGGAGGTCATTTACATGGGGAATATTTAGGTGTTAAAATTGATCGGCCCTGCTGATGAAAGTGGAGGTGACGAAAGAGGGAAGACATCAGGGCAACACTGAGTTTGACGTGCATGGTTGGTAGACAGTTGCTGCTCTTAGTGAAACAGAACTCAGAAGGAGGAGAAAGTTTGGGAGAAGATGCTGAGTTCACATTTGAATATTAAATTTGTATAACATACTTAAGACAAAATATGCAGAAGGCACTGCCCTTGATCTGGAAGCTCTGTCGTACAAGTGACAGGCTGCACCCGCTCTCCGGAAGTAGTGTTCTGATGAAACCTTTCGTAAGCCAAGTGGCATAAAATGAACAAGCACTTACCATTAATGTATATGGAAAGATTTTTTAGCATTCCCAGGCTCAATAAGGAACCAATCTTAGGCTTTTCTGATACCTTAGGGCACATCTTTCTAATGAATGCACAAAATAAATAAGGGATAAAGCACAGATGCCCCCAGACACAGTTCAGAGCTCTGGCAGCCCGATGCCGAGAGGCCGAGTGTGGTTCCGGGTAGACACGGGGCGTGGCCTCTCGGGGTGCACGCGATCTCTGTAAGGCCCACTGCAAAACAGACATTGAACACTGTTGCTTTTTGTTTTTATCTGTAGAAGTGAAAATCCTCTTCAGATTTCTTCTGGTTAGCAAAGACAGGTACTAATGTAGGTTTTTCATAAAAGCAAAGGGACATGATGCAAGCATTTGAATAGCAGGAGATACAGTATAATTAGGTGGCAAAGCACCTGACTGGTTCTCAGTGAAGTAAGGTCATAAATCTCGAAAGCTGGTCGGTCATGAATGATCAAGTCACATGGGGAGTTGGCTAGACAGCCGCATGTCTTCGTCCTTAGAGACCCCCTCCTTCAGAGGGATCTATCAGCGGTTACCTCGGAAACACCACAAGGCTGCAGGGGCCCCTGCTCTCCCCTTTCCTTTTCAGCTTGAACTTAATCACCCATTCTTTCCTCAGCCTCCCAGACCACAGCTAAGACCCCACTGTGTTTAAATAAGGAAGACTGACCAGAGGTCCAGCAGAGCAGTAAGTCACAGAAGAGGACATGCACTTGGCTGATATGGCTGGTGTTCTGTCCACCCCACTCTGATCTGTGGAATACCCCGTGTGGCCCCCAGCCTGCTTAATGCCAGCTTTCTCCTACCATAAGGCATACCTTCAGGGCCATGTACACACACACACACACACACACATATCCCTTGACGTCTGGGCCTCAGAAAGCAGGGCAGAGAGAGCCGTTCCTTCACCATCCACTGTCGGTCTTCCCAATCCTCCTTTCCCATCCTAGGACCCTGAACCCCCTATTTCTGAATAGCATTTGAAAATGTTCAATACCTTTAGCAGACACCCATCTCTTATCTTCAGAAAAGAATCCAAGATTAGGGCATAGTGGATATAGTTCCTACCTCGTTTCAAATGATTCCTTGAAACTACCTATTGTCTGTAGCCCATGCTGACCGATCTGGGTGTGGCTGGTCTTCAAAGCTGTGCCATCTGATCTTGACCCCTGAGCTCAGCTCATTGGACCAATCTCTAATCCAGGAATCCCAGTCCAAAAGGTGTTGAGACAAATTTTTGCTCCCTTGAAAATTTAGAATTAGGACCAGTCCGTCAGATGATGTTGAGCTTCTGTCCCGAGTTCGTGCTGGGGAGTGAGCCGAGGGATGGGGCGAACCGGCAACCCAAGGACCCACAGGAGGCCGTCGCTCTCTGAGAGATGGAAGGAAAGGTCCTCCTAGTTGTTTCAGTCCTTACGTGGTACTGCTTTGTTCCCTGACTGAAGTTGTCTGTGTGGGCTTACAATCAAACTGTCTTGATGTAAACCAGCTTAAATGGGTGTGTAATTTTTTCTTTCTTGCCTTGTTTTTCCAGCCAGATATACTGTGACTAAAACATAGGGTTTATGGGATTGATTTAACAGAGCATGTCTTATCTGTGATGTTCTGTAATTGGTTCAGTTGTAGAAAAGATTTGCCATCATTTCACTGAATGTGTGACATCAGGATGCTGAAAATGTAAGGTTGTTCAAGTCTTTAAAAAAAGAAATCTCTGAATGAATTTTGAGCATTATTTTTTCCACACATCAACTCAGAATAGAATATTTCTTGATTTTCAAAAAGTATATTTGGTCAGGTTCAGAAATAGTTGCCACCATTTTAAGAAAAATGAAATACATGAGTCAGTAGCTTATAGTTAAACATTGGTTATGAACTTGCCTATTTACTCAGTTGATTGCTATCATGATAAAGATAATGGTACCTTTTATAGTTTTTATTGGCCAGTTGTTAACATCTATATCACCATATGTAGGTCGTTATCTTAAAGGGACATGAAAAACTCATCTGGAGCTATACCAATAGCCATTTTACATTATAAAATAAGGATTGTTTTTCTTCCATCTCTACATAAAATTTTTAGGTATTTGACCCCACTGTGAAAATAAAAGGTAACCTAAAAATTAATTTCCCCACAGATAGAAACAAAGAGGAGGGGCAACCAAGTATTCCCCTGCCCTCTGGCTGCAGTGCAGTGTCACCAGATTCAGCTCCCGGAAGTTCGGTTGTTAATTACTGTGGTTTGAAAGGAATTTCAGAGGTAAGAAACTTGGCAATTGCTCAGACGATTTCAATGCTGCGACGGTCAGAGAAAAGCAAGCATTGGATTTAGTCATACGTGCCATTGGCCAGGAAAACAGTGAAACTAAGCTCCAGTCTCTCATAGAAATTCTTTGTGATAAGTGCATAGTACTTAATGCAATGTTTTCAACTGTATTACATGTTCACGGTCCATCTTTGATGATGGTTTGAGAAATCACCTAAATTTGTTGCTTTTTAAATTAAAGGAAACAACAATGCAGAAAATTGAAAGGATGAAAAAAATGTAAGTAACAGAAAGGGGCAACAGAAATTCCTTTCTCTCGAGGGAATTGCATCGGATCACTGTATGCATAGAACACGCGTGTGTGCTTCAGACCTTGAAGGCCCCTCAGTCAGGTGTGGCATTTCCCTCAGGACTCAGTGGATGATAAATCCACCTCCAGTTCTGTGTTTGTGAGACGAGTCTCGGTTTTGGTTTCCAAGAACTGATATAAAACAATGTTAATGGAATTAATTGCAGATTAAAGAGTACAGAAAAATATTTTTGGTTGATAGTTAAAAGTATTGCCTATTTTTGATAACTGGCATATCAAAATATTAAATGTAGACAGATAGTTTAGAGACATTTTAAGTATTATTAAAATATTGCTAGTCTTTTTCAGAAAGTTATTGATATAAGAAATGATACTTTTATCTAATACGAATATGAAATTATGTGATTGAAGAACAGTTGAAAGGAAATATGAAATGAAATTGTAAGAGATCATTTTTCAACCTACTACTTTAAAACACTACAATACTTTTTTGAAATTTGAGAACTGAGATAACTTATGTTCCAAGAATTAGACTCATCATTGACTTGGTTGTGTATTCAATTTATTAATAGTAACTATAGCCACAGATAAGAAAAATATTACAGTTTATTTTAGGCCCAAAGCATAATTTCAGCAACTTAAACTGATGCCTTATTATGAATTACTTACTTAATAAATTACTTATTTATTACATTTCAGGTTTGAAGAAACTGCAGAGTTACTGAAATGTCCAAATCACTAATGACAAAATTTCCTGCATGAACTTCTTTAGGACTTGGCTACTGTCCATGTTGTATATTTTAAGAATTATCTACAAATTTTAATATGCTGCAACATTTTTTAGTAAGGATATGAATTCTACTTGGTATCTGAGCTTTTTTTCATTCAATATTAAATAAATAAGTAGTTTTGCTCTATGATGCTGCTGCTTTACTCTGTGTTATTCAGGAAAATGTTATGTGCCCGTGCATCTCTCTTCCAGAGCTTGGTCATTACAGCACTGTATTTTTGTGTTGACGGTTGTTGGCAGTGTGCTAACTAATAAGTTTTTTTAAAGCACAGGCTTGAGGACCATAGTTTATATCCTGTTGCAAACAGTCCGACTGGGACTGGCGTGTGGTTCCCAGGGGGCTCTCGTACGTACCGTGTTGCCATCTGTACTGACAGATATGTTGTAATGAAAAGTTGAAAATGTTCGTTGCAAATTCAGTGAAACAAAAGTACAGTTTCATGCTTAGTCAAACGTAGCAGCACATTTTCAGTTAGGATTGAGAACGTGAGGGTGTGATCCTCCTGTTGTGTTTGGAGGAGGTGGGAACATGCCCTGGGAAGACCATGTGAGTGCCAGTGTTCTGTGACACGGTTCAGGACCTGCAGCACAGATGCCAGTGCTGGCTGTCCAGTATGACAAGATACACACGGAAGTTTTTTTTTAAGTGGCTGTATATTTTTCTGGAGAAAGAGAAAGACTTAGATGAAGTTAAATCAAGGGAAAAATGAAATTCACTTTAAATTCCTAGATAAATTATCTCCTTTTAATTTTATATATAACAAACGTAATAATGGTGCGGGATAATCTTCAAGAAAAAGGGATTCCAATTATTTGGTGGGGGGAAAGGGTAGTACTTTTTTCCTATTATTTAGATCATCCCTTTGTATTTTATATATTCATCTATTTATGCTATATACTACTACTACTATATATGTGTGATTTTATACTTCTCAAATATGAAACACTAAGTTAAAATTCTAAATAGAAATGACTTTTAAGAAAACATTTCTCATTCTAATTCATGTTCTAGTCATTAGACTTTAAAATCATGAACGTTTGAAGTTAGCGTAAAACCTTGAATTTAGTAGACTTCCAGTAAATATTTCTAGAATTAGCAATCCAATTAGTTTTATTTTTTCAATTCCAAAAAATGTACACAAAAGGTTACAAAAGAAAAACTGAAATCAGTTGCTACTTAAATATCAGAACCAACTTGGAATTATAGCACCACCTTGTGGTTCATATGCCAGTATTTTACCTTTTATTTAAAGAGTGATTTCTGAGAAAACAGGATCTTATTTTCCTTTGAAAACTCAATCTCAATTTTAAAAAGAAACATTTTAAAGTTTTCTTGTGCAAAACAGAAGAAAAGCTAAGTCTCCTTTTCTCTGTCTCATTCTTCCTTTTTTTAAATAGTGTACCTATACACAAAAGTAGATGAAACATTTCTAATCTCCCAATCTACATACAATATACAGAATATAAGTATCTGTTGAAAATATAGTAAAAGACTTCATGTGTTACTAGGTGGAAATTTGAAGTCTTAATTTTTTTATGCTTTTATGTAACAAACAGGACCTAATAAAATGCACTCATAATGACACCATACATTTACACTTACAAAGAATCACACTATACTTTGACAACATAGTCCTTGGGAAAAAAGCAAATTTGACTTAATCAAGATTACTGAAGAGATAGCCAAATATTTATTACTCTAACTCTCTTAGAAATAGTAGAAAAAGTTACGTGTTCTCTCAGACAATTGGGTTAGGAGCTTGTAACTATAACCCCTTTTGTTTAACTTGAGGGTCTTGAGAAATGAGGGAGAAGTCCAGGAGAGGTGATTTGGAACTAATTAAACCCTTAGTTCACTGAAATCCTCACCGGCCCCACCCCTTTAATTGTCCCCCAAACTGGACGGAAGATACTTATTCTACTGCCCACAGGGGCCTGAGCAGCTCGGGGCCCTGTCTGTAGTGCGCTCTGAATGGGTCTGGATAGAGATCAACTGGAACACGAATACATCAGGTAAGATGCTAGTTAGAACATATTAAAAAGAAATAACTATATGTAAATTCTAGGCAGCGCCAAGGACTATTAAGTTGAAAAAAAGTAATTCTATATTTTACTCTAACATTTTTAGCGTAATATTTTAACATGTAAGATATTTCCTAAAAACTAGGACTTTGGAACTCTTTTATAACTGACAGGCACTTGGGGAAGCAATAAAACGTAAAAGAACCTTGTCAGTTTTACACACCGCAGCACTTTTTGAGCTCAAATAGTATCATATATTTGATTTTTACCTTTTAACCGCCCCCAGGTTCATGTGTCTGCTTCCTTTCAGGCTGCGGGATGCAGGGAGGGTGAGGAGGTGGGGGTAGTGACTCCAAAATGAAAACCTTAAGTCTCGTTCCACTTGAGCTTTAATGTTCCAGTGAAAATGGCAGGTTTCTTAAGCCACGCAGAGTGAAGAAAGCTGAGAAAACCAGTGCCAGCAGCAGGAGGCACCCCGAGAACATGCACATTTTTTGAGGCAGGGAAAGGGAAGTTTTTAAAGTCCGTTTTCATTTTTATTTAGATCTAATACCTGTAAGAATGAGGATTCTAGTAGTGTGTCGTATTTTCTCTCCAAGGTCCACTAAATCACTCATAGAAAATTTTAATTGGACTTAAAAAAAATTTTTTTAATGCAAAATGTTCAACTCAACATTTAAAAATTAAGAACAGAGGACTTAGTAAGTATCCCAAATATATAAATAACCTGAATTCTACATTATGGATGGATGTTAAGAAGAAAAGAAAAAGGAGGAAACCACAAAATTAATTGCCCCAGAAAGCTGAACATTGGGAATTAGAGTGATGGAAAGGTGAGGACTTGGGAGTAAGTCGCAGTGGACAGATTCCTTCAGTCCACTTAAGTTGGTATCTGCTTGGAGTGCAATGGACTGATTAAATCATTGGCTGTAGCTCTTCCTCTGGTGTTGAGGTCCTCACAGGGCGGACACACAGTCGGGTCATTCAGTACCTGTATCCTCACTGACTTCTGACTGTCCTTGTGGAGGGGACAGTAAATGCCCTCATCTCCTACCACGTACTTCTCACTTCTGTAGTTTACCAGTAAAATTCACGCCAGGGGATAGATAGATGCCTTCCTCTGAGTACTCAGTAGATAGTGTTCCTACTTTTGTTTTTTGCTGTACCCAAAACCTCTGAGATTCTCTATGAATGTATCTCTGTTAGGATATTTACAAAAAAATGTTTTAAAATAAGCTATGGAGTAGCTAGTAGTTATGAATGTAAGACTTCGTTTGGATTAGACTGGAGCCAGAATCGAGCTTTTGTAGACGCATTGCTGATTCCCTTCCCATTTTTCACTCTGATGAAGGATTACCCTCTGTAAGCCCCCATGCGGGTGCGGTGGTTTGTTTTGGTGACCCTTGCTTGCAAGGACACAGCCCAAGGCCTGAGCCAGAGAGAACTCCTAGCGGCCGGGGCTGAGTGCGAGCCTCCGAGGGTGCACCACTTGTCTCCTTCTGTCGCCACTGTGCCATCTCCTCTCCCCCTTGGCACGAGTCACTGACCTCTCTGCCTCTAGTCGTTCCTCCTCCAGTGTGTTCACACTGCTACAAAACGTGTTTTTTGAAATGTTCCTTTGATGATGCCATGCTGTTGTTTAAAATGTTTCTTCAAAGAAAGTTTCTCTCATTCCTACTGAGCAAAGCCTGGACAGCACTGGCCTTTTTCTTTGAAGTCTCATCCACCTTCCCACCAGCATCTATGGTTCTCTCGAGTCTGCATACATGCTGCTCTCTTAAATTGTGCCTTTGCACACTTTCTTTTGCTGAGAACAGCTTTTCCTCTGAATGGGCAAATTTTTCTGCTTATCCTGTAAGACAAGGTACCATTCTCAGAAAGGCTTTTCTCAACTACGGGAGCCAAATTATAAGCTTCCGTCTCTTTTCTGCCTTATACCTTGTTAATGCCTTTGATTTTGCACTGATTTTGTCACTAGTATTTGTGACACGTCTAGTCTCCATCAGGCTGTCTTCTGGTTTCCAATCTTCCTTCCAGTGTTTGTTCCCTCTAGAGCCCAGCAAAGTGGTACTCAGTAATTATTATTATTTTTTGGCTGAATGACTATCAAATTATAAATTCTAAGCAAAGTTTCTGGATAAGTAGGATCGTATCAAGTTGAACGTGGCAGTCCTGTCTTGCTAGATCCTTTTCATGGAAGGCATGCATTGACCGAATCAGCACACTTCATTGGTATGTTAACAAATGACCTGAGAATGGAAGCCGACTGGAGTGTGTCATGTGCCGCTGCGCCAGGCACTGGCCTTAGGCAGGGGAACAGGGTAGACGCGGTTCCAATTCTCACCGAGCTAATGGCTGAGCAGGAAGACAGTTAAATAAGCAGTGCAATGGAAAGTACTAGAAGAGTATGATGCGTCTGACTAATCCGGGTGGGGGGACGCTTCTAAGGGGAAGTGATATACTCATCTGTGTCCTGAAGTATGAATGGGGGTAGCCGGAGAAGATAAGCAAAAGCGCCAGCATGAACACGAGGGCCGGCATACCGAGGGCGTGTGTGTAGGTGTGGGAGGGGGGCGCAGAGGCTGCAGGTCAGTTTAGACAACCCCAGGGGCCGTTTGCATTTTACTTTCCAAAAAACTTAAGTGGCAGAATATCATAACCAGATCTGAGTTTTGAAGGATTTTTAGTTCAGTGCTGTAGTGTGGAGAATGACTAAGAGGCGGCAGGCCTAGTGGCGGAGAAATCATCTAAGAGGCTATTACAGTGACCTGAAAAGAGATGCTAAGGATGCCCCACATTAAGATGACAGTGGAGATGGAGGGAAATAATGGAATTTCTTCCAATTTAAGACATTCTTAAATCAATTCAACTCCGATTTAAAGGCTCCCTTCAGTTTAGTATCTGCATCGGGTGATGGGAAGGATACCACACTAATGTCTGTTCGGTGTGCTGCCGCACCCAAGTAGCCCTGCTCCGGAACCCTGCCGGGATTATGAAACCTTGAGCTCCTCTCCTGACCTGTTGAATCAGATTCTGCATTGCGCCAAAAACCCAAAGTTATTTTTAGGTACCTTAAATTCGAGGAGCAGTCGTTTACAGTCACAT